TTTTGTACATTATTTATCGTGAAATATTTGATATCAGCTAACCTTTTCATTGATTTTATGATAGACACTTTAGGTTTCCATCAGTGCAAGAGACATCTCCTCTTGGTAAAACTTCAATATAACAAGAAGTTTGCAAAAATTTGATATTGCTTTAAATTAAGCTCAAATAAAAAGCAGCTATTTTCGTATACTAAAAACTACAAGGTTGATGAAAGAAGATTGTTTTATATAACCCATTTCTATTTAATGTCTCATTTCTATGCTAATGTTTTTGTCCTGATCGATCATTTAAAATTCATCCCCAAGCAAAGTACGTCCTAATATTTAATTAATTCAAATAAAGAAAAATGCAAAAAGATGTCTCGCATACTACTAGATATATATATGTTTTTACTGATAAATGCCTTTTCATGAGTTATTATTTAGTTTCGACAGTTTCAGCTGAAAAACAAATAAATCTCTATATACTCAAATTTATTAAACACATTGCGAAAATAATGAAAAAAGATACGAAATTTGACAGAAAAGAAACAAATCACAACACATTACCAAGAACAAACCAATCCATCAAGCGGGCAAATTGCTTTCTTAGCCCAAGTCATGTCCCATTCGACGCAACACGTAGCCCGGCCTTGTTCTAGGATCTTTTTTTGCATTTTAGAAATTTTCCTTTATCATTACAATATCAAGGTTAAGCAATGGATATTTTTTCATAAGATTATAGTAACGATGACAACCGCCGTTACTATGGTTACTTCAGTTAAAGGTTATAGCGTATACGTGAAGGCGTGTACAATCCGAGAAATAAAGACGGCCTCCCCGCGCAACTAAAGTCGCGAAAGACCAAAAAAACGGCAAAAATGTTGCCAGATAAGGGTCTGATAATGAAGCATATGAATACCTGATGGAAGCTATATTCTTTCACCTCAGTCGATAGAGAAACAGTATCCCAACTGTTCCCTAAAACAATCCACAGTTCGCCGGTTCTTTTAAATTTATTTCAAAGCATCCTTTGTCCCCTTAGTTCGGTCGTGCTCTCTTGTTTCCCAAGACTGCTGGAAGACCCTTAGCCCGGGGGGAGGGGTACTCCTGGGAATTCTTGGTGAGGGGTGTGCCGCCCGGTTCTCCGAATCCTGACCCTATCTCAGACCAACAAAAATGCCATTTTCTTCACCCGTTTTCAGAACTGGAGGTGGTCACAAAACGCAACAAACGTGTTTGCATTCACAGAAATTATGTCATCATTGCTGAGATTAGAACACCAACAAAAAAATTTCTTTCTTTCTTATTCATTTATAACTGAAACGAAGAACACATTCATACAACTGTAGTTCCCCTGTAAACCATACCCGATCCAGACCAAAATGGGCAAAATCTATACCCGTTTTCAGACCAAAACGGCGCCAAAACCATACCCTTTGGGGCGGCACATACCTTTATGGCTTATATAAGGGAGTACCCCCCCGGGACCCTTAGTAAGTCATCACCATAAATTAAAACAATGGGATTGTTGCATATTTAATTTTGATCTATTAATATTTTATTTAGCCCGGGTTTTCTATTTTCGATCTACCCGGCAAATGTTTTGCGGAGAACTGTCTAATTCTTTGTTGAGTCTTTTCTTGAAATTTTCTCACTTTCGAAAGACCTAGGGCATTTGACGAGCAACATAATGTACTTTGGGATTAGTACTGCGAAACGGTACTCGTTGCGCCCTTCCCCTAAACTTATTCTCTGAACTGCTCAGTGAAGGCGTTGCTTGAAATTCGGCCCAAAAGATTACTTTGCATTTTCACCCGTTTGATGATAAGATATCACTGAAGAATCACCAATGTCCAAAGAACAAGTACTAAATGCAATTAAGGCTCTTGACCAGCCAGCCACTGTGTGGCGTTTTGGAAAGATTAGGCACATCCTGAATGCACTCACCTATTTTGTAGGTAAAGTCCTTTCTAGGTCCAACCAGTATCAGTATTCATCACATTCGGATTAGTCTTTTGCAAGGTTTCTCACCCTTCACGCAGCCAGTAATTGGTCGAATATTATTTAAGAAGCCATGTATGTCATTTAACGAACAGAACGTGGCTTGATAAAATTCAACAAATTAATAATTATAAAAACGCCCTAATTTTAGACATTTCACTGAAGTGTTCGTCATCACTTATATTTAATGGCAACTAAACTGTCCATTTATGGCAACAGCTAAAAGCTGAAGATGACAAATAGTAATCAAGGACTTTTTAGTGTGTTTCTTAAACCAAAATTCAACGACACTTATAAAAGAATTCCCGTTCTTTCAAACGTCATCCAGTCTGAATTGATTCCAACGTGCCCAATGTGAGACACACAATGCAGGGACATTTTCCTGGTCGGCTGCGTTGTCAGGGAACGTGTCCAAGTTCAAACAGGGAAAGAAGAATTAATCTTTGTTTACTGTAGTTTTAATTCTAAAAAAAAGCAGGAAAAGGCAAGACTTGTGGTGAGTAGCTATTTAACTGGAGATTGGCTAAGAAAAGTTGCGGTTATAAGACGTCATAATAAGACGTTCTTTTACCGTAATTTTGCCCCCAGAGAAGCCAAGTTTTCTGGGTGATTTTTACAGTTGTAATAAATCAACAAGATAGGCCGGGGCTCCAAGTATATAACGGTGCATGGAACCCGATGTAACCAAGCGCCAAGGGACTGCGAACATTGCTCATAGAGATGAAGATGTATAGAGGTCCTGTGCCGAAAAATTTTCCTTTTAACAGGGGTGAAGAATGTCATTTCAATTGTTATTCAGGGGTGTTGGTTTTATCAATGTTTCACTATATCGAGGCGGGGAGTTCGTTATATATTACTTGGTGCCGCCTCCACCTAGACTGTTCACAGTCCCCTATTTTCCCGTAAAGATCGTCGCGATCGAGCGCTTTGCGTTACGGGCTGCTATCTTGCATGAGTGTCACAACTACTTAGGTGGCGGGGGGCCCTCCCCCTAGAGCTATAATCCCCGACGCCCTCCCCCTCGGTACATTTGAAAATCAAGATGGCCGCCATTAATGGTAATGCACCTATCAATGTTATGCCAGCGGGGGGGGGGGGGGGGGGGGGAAGGCAGGGCACGTGGTAAGGGATTTGATTGTCTTTGTTGGCCCTGGGGTAGGGCCTTTTACTGATCTTGTTCTCCCAGGGGAGGGGATATTTAAATCTTTCTTCGCACGACGTGGAGATATTTGACTGCCGACTCGGACGAAAAAAAAAGAGACCGAACTTCCACGCTTCACGCATGCGCCGTACGGTCTGGAAAGATCTGGAAATCATGGAGGCCAACGAGAACAAGCGAAAGCTGGGTGGATTTCACTGTTTCGTCTTCAAATTTCGTTTGTTTTAGCGTGTTTTTGTTCAATTGAACCTCTTAAGATACTGTGGTGTCAAAGTAAACTGAAGTAAAGAGCAACCAAGTCGATTTTTGCAAGTACAATTAATCAGTGTATGGCTCATTCGCTACAATCACTGTAAGCTTATAAAACTGACTTTCTTTGTACCCTGACTAAGAACGGTATATTTAAACTTACAAAACTCCGAGTGTGGACTTTCTCCTAAAGGTTTCTGTATTCTACGCAGTGTAACACGGTTTATGTTTAAAACGTATAATTGCAACTGTAACAGGAAAATGTATCTTTGGTGATGCAGCAACGTAATATAAATTAATAAAGATTGCAGAGTTTTATTTGGAGATATTTTTATTGTGCCTTTCTTGGGTCCAGCCTTGGGATATTTGACAGCAATGTGCAAACCGGGGTGTGGAAATCTGCTTGCATTTGACTGGAATGATTTGCCCGTGGGCAGGGAATTTGACTGCAAATTTTTGAAAAATGTCAACCCCCTGCCTTTCTTTCCTCCCTTTATTTGACTCTCTATAAGATGGACACCTCTCTAAGACGGACACTTGGTGCTGGCCCCAAAGGTGTCCGTCTTAGAGAGAGTTGACTGTACCCATCATGAGGATGAACCAATGAGTAAAGCGGCACTGCTTACTGGCCCCAGCAGGGCATTGGTCATTATTTACAACGGCCCTAACCAATTTTTGCTCGTGCATCGTATTTATTATTTTCTATATACTTTGAAAATAAAAAAGTTCCTATTAAGCTACAACACTTAAGTATATTTCTGCAGTTTTAACGCTCTAAAAATGTAGTATAGTTGTAAGTTCCATTTTTATCACCGAGTATTTGGTCTAAGGTAAGGACGTTCTTCCAACAAGATCACGGTAACCGTGGTTACCACTGTTACCACGGTTAACGCGGGTAAAGGTTGCAGTGTGTACGTGATATGGCCGTCGGATCCCAACACATTCAGCTGGGTAGTTTAAGATGCATTTAGTACGTGTTTCATAGTCACCATCCCAGAATGCCCCACTCCCTGAACAGCAATAATAAAATTAAGAAAAAAATTCCCAGGAGAGGGCTTTTCTGTTGTGATCTTCGGTTGCTGAAGCCCTTTTTTTTAGTAATTTGGCAGAACATCTTCAAAGATTAAAGGTACTTAAACTAAGTAATTTTTTTAAGAAACACCCGAATCCTCTCACCCGTCCCTCCGGATTGTGCAGCGAGCTTGCTGCATAATCCGCTGAATCACATACTTATTTGCACAATCTACCAATATTTGAAAAAGGTCAAGACAAAAAACAAACAAATAACTTTACTGGCTTCCTCGAACAAATATTAGGAAACTAATATTTTATGATTTACAAGGTGACTGACTGGGCCAGTTCTGATTTTTGGTAAGCGCCCTCAGACAACTAACAAATAAATTAAATCAAAGGAAAGAAATGCATGTTGTGTCTTACAAACAGAGGGATCTGTTTGTACCTTTAGCTCGTAGCCCTAGCATACGGAAGCTACACGTTGCAAGAAAATGAGAGGGGTATGGTACCTAGAATCTGAAAATCCCGGAAGCACTTCCGGTGTTAATATGTCTCTCGCATTGATAGTCTCTCTTGCCGATCACAGCTGACTTGTTTGATTCAAAACATGAGGATTCCAAGAGCAAAAGACAGATTATAGAAATGGAGAAAAGACAACACAATCAAAAGAAATCGACAAGCGGTCGCAGAAGGAGGTAAATAATGTCGATTTAGAAAATTTCCTCAGCGACGAGAAGTAATTATAACCAGGGAAGTGAACTGAACCTAGTGAAATTTCTTGTCGAATTATATATGTATCAAAGACATATAAAGACTGATTTCCATGGAAATAACATACTTATAAAAATAATTATATAAATATATAACATTATATAAATAGTTGTAGTTTCTTAAATCTGATAACTAAATATATTTAGTTATAATAATTAAATGTAGCCGACGAGTTCTGGTTAATATTTAAAAGAGAAAACTTATCTGCTCTGATTGACATACAGTTTCTTAGTTTTCTTAGGAAATCAGAAAAAAATTCATCATTAGTTTGCAGTGAACTATGCCACTGTAGTCGTTTTTTAATACAAGAAATACAATTCACTGAATCATTGTTGAAAACTGATGAGTGTCACGCCATTAAATACTGTCTAAAAAGAATAAACCGCTTTTCCAATTTTTTTAAAAAAATAAGGATATAACTAGAAGATATAAAGATGAGCGAATTCTCCCAAGATTTGTGTGTTTGTAGCTTTTAATTCCAGCTTCATTCGGAGAAATCTTTCACCCTAACTTATAGAGTTAAAGAGACACCTGAACTGTCGGTGTCCCTCGTCATCAATATGCAATAATTCATTTCACGTCACGCAAGCTTGAAGTTAATGTAAATCGCAAGATAAAGCGGATCCGCGTCTGTTTGGCTACCTGAGCTTGCAAGATGGACCCATCTTGCCGGCTCGCTCGCGATTTTTTATGGTCAGTGACGCATATACCGTAAACTTAGGCTTACAAGCCCGTCACGTGGGGGAGGGGGGGCGTCACGTGGGGGGGGGGGTACTTGGGTTAATTGCTGGGTATGTGCCGCTGGTCTGACAGAGCCCCTACCCCATTAAAGTCTACCTTAAGGTATTCTGTGACCAATTATAGACCCCATCTTAGTCACTTTTGGGCAAATATGTAATTTTCGCGATCCCAACCCGAGTCACTTTCTATTTTTGTATTTACCTTATCAATCCTTTAAATAGGCATCCTAATATGAATTGACCCATTTTTTAAATAAATTGAATGAAGAACACTTTACTTTTCACCTACAGTACAAATATTCTGATACGTTTGTTAACCGTAAATATGAACAACTTTCTTACCCCAAAAATCCGAAAATGTGGGACCCCATTCTAGTAACTCTACTGAAAATGCGACCCCATTATAGTCAATCCAGTCGTGAAAATGCGACCCCATTCAGCGGCACATCCCCATTAGCCTCTTATAAGGAAGTACCCCCGGGGTTATAGGCCTCTCCCGGCCGGATGTAAGTCTCTAAGTGTAAGTGACTTGCGACGTGATTTGCGTTACATGTTTGTAACTTTCCTTTTTATCTTGGATTATTAGTTTTTGAACTTGGAACAATCTTTGCCTGAACTTGGCTGAAATTTTAGGTACTGACAGAATTGTCTGTACTTTTTCCCCCTCCACAAATTCCCTGACAAATGCAGGACTACTTACGATGATCTGAAAAGTAACGTTGATGAACAAGTTGGCGAACAATTTGTCCCTGTTCCCAAGCATCTGATTGGAAGAGTAATCGGCAAGAAAGGCAGCACGATTAAACAAATCAGAATGCAGTCAGGGGCAAGGATAACAACTCAAGATCGAGCTGACGCAGGGCAGCATGTTGGATTTATGGTCTACGGCACTCAAGAACAAATAAATTGCGCAGTGAAGCTTATAAATGAACAACTGGTAAGAGTTTAGGTACATCTGTAGGACTTGGCACAGGTCTTTCCCCTCTTCTTGCCTTCATTCCAAGTCGCCCTTCTAAGGAAATCTGGAATTCCGGAACCCGGGAAATTTTTGCTTGTGGAACCTGCAATCCTGGGCTTTGCTATTCGGAATACGGAATAGAGCTCTAGGGATCCGGAATCGCACTAACGATTGGAATCCTGAATCCAAGCCGGATTCCGGAACCCGCGAAATTTTTTGCTTGTGGAATTCGGAATCCGGAATAGAGCTCAAGGAATCTGGAATCCCATTGACGATTGGAATCCTGAATCCAAGTTATAATAATAATAATATAATAATAATGATGGTTTATTAAAATTCACATGGTGGCATAAAAACTATGAATTACAATGTGCTTACATAAGTTACAACTAAAAATAAAATTACATTTGTTTCAGAGGGACTGGGATTACAGGCTATTTATAAGTTATTTACAATTCAGATATAGATAAAGGACAATACTAGAGATAACTAGACTCTACTGCTACTGTTACGCTAAGATGGTAAGAGTGGCATTCGGATCGCACGGGAGGGAGAAGGCGGTGCAGCTGGCCATCCGAGTTATTTTTGATATTGTGCCACACTTCAGGTGGGCGCGTCTATCAAGTTCCACTCACAAAGATCTGGAATCCAGTACCTGGAATCCAGAATCCAAGATTGGCCTGGATTCCTTACATGGGGCGATTCCAAAGGCTCGTCACCTTCATTTCAAGTGCTTGACTTGATGCTGTACTTCACCTAACTCCAAGTCCCATAAAATGCCACGGCGAAAATTACGATAATATACTTTTAAGATGAATCTCGATAGCCGGACTGCCACGGTCTTTAGACTCTTGTATGTACTGCATGTGTTTTTGCATCAGCCTCTCGTACTGGGTCAGGAGGCTCATCATCGGTCAACACCAAATTTTCATAAAAATGCTAAGGATTTTTTTATTACAGGGAAAGCCACGTTCCAGGGAAGGCTGCTTGCATGGGCTTTGAAAGATAACCCGTTCACACCGCCTATATTCTATTAAGAGATCGTCGAGCGGGCTTATGAAAATAAATTGATTGATTGATTGATTGATTGATTCAGCCAGTGATGAAGACGACTACGAGTGACAGACGCCATGCCTCCCCCGGTCAACTAGTGAATATTCCAAGCCAGTTTCAGAAGGTAGTAAATGGTCCGGGGGGAGACAATCTTCGAAACGTTAGCACTGTAAGTGGGGCAGAGGTGACGGCAGTGGATGCTGGTCGTAAGCTTTACGTCACAGGTGATAACAAGAAAGTACAACATGCTGAGTATCTATTACGAAGCAAAGTGGTGAGCTAACATATTGTTTTTTCTTTTTTTTTATCTGACTATTTAGTAAAGTTTACTCACGAGAGGCTCTTGGTTCACTGAATTGCAAATGATTTGAGTTTGTTAATTTGACATCAGTAAACGTGTTTCTGTCAAACACTTGTGCATAGCTTGCCATGTTTTCCTTTCAAAATCGCCTAAGTTCCTGTTGTTCACGGGTCTTTTTTTCAGCGACGTTTCATTACCGTGGCCGTTGTCGGATCGTAAGGTCCCTACCGACCTAGTCCCTATCCGTTCCCGGCTCGTTCAATCCTGGACTCTATTGTGAGCTGTGACGTCACCGAGAGAGACTCGCCCAACATTTTTACCAGGGCCAGATAGAACGCTTAGGGAATAGCGTGGTTCCAACTTCGATGCAGTTTTACTAGTAAAAAGATCGAGTAGGAAAATTATCAACTCTTGTGCACATTCTACTGAAAGACATTGATTTATTTATTGATCAGATACATTATTCATATTAAAAATGAGTTAAATAATTAATTAATCTCGATCGGAAGGCAGGTCCCGTAACAACTGATTGTTCCGGCTCCAAGGGCGGATTTAGGAGGGGTACAAACTTAAGTTCACTGGTGAAACTATTTTACAGCCAGACATTTCCAGCCATTTTCGCTAGTACACCGTGTATTATTTTCTAGTAAATCTAGTTAGTTAATAATTTATCAGCCAAAGAGTTTAAGATATCGTTTAGCAGCGCAGTGTACAATACAGATTACCATAAATTAACGGTCCATGCTAAAATTTTTCACCTTTTGAATTTTCAGGCCGCTTACCGATTCAAAGCCCAAAGAATATGCGTCTACATTGATGAACGCAATCTTCCTGAAGATGGTGAACTGAAACTTTCTTTAGTGGAAGGAAACGCACGTGCGGTATTGCCCAGGGCGCAATTGCAGTATCGACTAAAGCCTGCCTATGGATACGAACTGCCTTGTCAGGTTTGAAAACTATGCTCCTTGCAAAGAAAATAACACACAATTTACAGGTTTGCTCTTACGTTTTTGCTATCTGAAGTAAAAGCCTAGGGTAGGTGCCGATTACCCAGTTCCAGTCCATGGGGAGGGACTCTCTTACGAAAGGGGCGGGGAGGTTCTTCTTTCGAAATGTAAATTGCAGAATTTGATACCGATTCACAGGGTATTGAAGACGTCGAAAAGCTTTTAGTTGGAAAGGAAATGATCGGATAACTTAAAGGGATCCTGAAATAATAGCGAAAAGGCACACAGGTATTGCTTAGGGCCAAGAAGAAAGGAAGAAGAAATAAGCTCTTAGCCTTTATCTTGTTTTCTGGTTTTTTATTGGTATCACTTAGGGGCCAAATAAAACTTTAGACATGCCTAAATTTGTTTCCTTTGACTTCGTCCAACGAGAATCTCCGCACTTTTTTCCCCGGAGTCAAGCTCACCAACACCTTCTCCTTCCCGGGTCCAACGTTTGACTTTGACCGTAACACGGTTTTCAGTAAAGATCGCTAACCCTCAGTTTCTTTGGCAAGAGATAGGTGGTATGTATCAAGTCTTCTTTTCCAACTGCAGGGAGCGAGTAAGCTAAACCAAGAATCGAGCTATGATGATAGCTTAAAGGAAAGGGCTCTGTTATCTCTTCGAGAAATTAAAAAGGAAATCGATGCAAGAAGCTTTCACAAGGCAGACATGTGGTGCCATTTCGGAACGGTCATCATTCGTGACCCTGATGAAGGTGCGTTAGTGTACTGTTATAAACTTCTTTTAAGAAGGTCCTTCTTGTAGGTTTTGAAATTCAATCTGACTGTTTATTGAATGCAAGAGAATTTAGCTTCCGGAATCCTGGCCGTTTAGAATCCGGAATACAGCTCATGAAATCCCGAATCCAAATTCCACTGACAAAAAATTGGGAATCCAGTACCTGGAATTCCCGGCGTGGAATCCAGGATCCAGGACATTCCTTGATTCCCTAGTCTGCTACACAGCCGTTTTAGTGTCGTCACGCAGTGGGGAGGAACGTTGCGTGACGACATGCACACTAAAAACGGCTGTGTAGCAAACTATGGATTCCCTGACATGGGTCGAGAAAGAAATTCACAGAAAAGTGTGGTTCACGTTCAGAATTGTTGTTTTGCTTTCCATTGCCGTTGCTGTCCATGCACGTTAACCTATTTTATTTTATTTTTTTGATTTTATCATGGCGGCTATCTTGCCTTCTCAGCCTATGGCCCCATAAATGATATGTCTTCAGTTTGTGCCTTGCCTATATTAAGTGTCCGACTGGTTTCTTCTCTTTACAGCGGAAGTAGAGAATACTTGGAGCATTGATGAAATTCTGAAGAAGGTTCAGTCAACTTCCACAAGACGCAACGAGTGGCGAGTAGCATTTAAAGAAGGTGTAAACATCAGTGAGAGAGTGATACAAGACACATTCGGTCAACAGGATGAACAGGATTATATCGCAAGATATGATTTATCATATTTAACGCCACGAAGTCAGCCAATAAGATGCAAAGTAAGGAAACAAATTAAATGTTTTTTTCTTTTGGTTTACTCGCCACTTGCCCAACACCCTTGTATTCTCTTTGACAAAGATAAATCTATGGAAGAGTAATGATTTTACTCAGCAACAGTTCGGTTTCATATGAGAACTAACCCCGCTATGCACAAGTCTTCGTAATCATGAGTTGGGTCAACTCTTGACTTTTAATGGATCTTAACAACGCCTGGATCTGTGCCGTATTATTCTCATTTGTGAGATTTCTAATGTTGTTCGACGTAGAAACGTTTTTCTTGACGCCACCTTGACTATGTTTAATTTCTGTCCTCCTGCTGCGTTAGGTTTGGGTGGCAAGAAGGGGAATTGGGAAGAAGCTAGACGAAATACCAATACCTTTTAGCGACGTAAAGAACATTGTAGAAGAGTTGCGTTTTGAAGACGAATTAACTAGATCAAGATGTCGAGGATGGCTTGTTTTGCAATCCAAAAAGTTTCTTCAAGCTGACATCATATTTCCTGGATGCAACATCGATTGCAGAGTCAGCATACGAGCATTAACAGGTGATCAAGTTTTTGTCGGTTCCTTAATCCCTTTTAGTAAAATCAAACTAGTGGTCTATTATCAATGCTGCGTTCTGATTGGTTGAGCTACTAGCTCACTAGTAGCGCAAACCGTCAGCTTTTTGGCGGCAAAAAAGGCTTAAAGTCTAGCTTTAACTAGCTAAAGTTGTTTTGTCGCGAAATTTTTGACCAACTAGTTGGATTTTTCTAAAAAAAATTATTCCTCTCGCCCGAATGGACTCTGAGTCAATAGCCCATTTGGCCTTCGGCCTCATGGGCTATTGACTCAGAGCCCATTCGGGCGAGAGGAATAATTGTAAAATAGTCCTTAAAAAAGTTCCACTATAATCAAAATGTCCTTTACAGTCGACTCCCGATAATTCGAACCTTCTTGGAATATTGAAAATAGTTCGAATTATCGGGAGTTCGAAGAAAATGACCGGAAATAAGGAAATAAGCAAGATGGATGGGAGGAAATGCAAGTATCATGCATACTTCACTTCAAGAGCAGTAAGAGATACAGATTGATATTTGAAAAAATAAATTTAATGATAGTGATAATAAGCAACAAAGCTTGATTAATAGCAGGGATGGACACGGAATTTGCGTACGACTACGACGTGAAAATTTTTCTTTCTCTTTCTAAACTTGAGTGCGGTCCCCAAAAATTCAACTCCAGGGAAATTCGCTTACTTTCGACCTTTTCAGCGAAATTCAATGAATGCGAGTACGTTTGAGAAAACGCGAATTCATTTTAAAGGTGACGTTTTCGCTGCCGTCGCCGTCGCCGTCGCCGTCGTTTCCCTATTAGGGAACTTAAGATAGAGACGTTTTCGGGGCGACGGCAACTTCAACCGGACGTGACATCATCATTTGTTGGATATTGCGCATGCTCGTGCTCACCACCTTGCCGTCGTGGTCCCGTCGGCGACGTGAAACTGGTCTGTTTGGCGTTGTGGCGAAAACGTGAGTATTTAACTTTCATTTCAATCAGGTTTGTTGCGTTTAGCAACCAACATTTTGCAGATTATCGTTCTTAAATTGTCCTTGTTTTCTTTGAGGCACATTTCAAGCTCGATTTCCAAGCTCTGTTATCTAAACTTTAATACATCTTTGAATGTTTCTATGTTTTCATGTCACAGGGTCAAGATCCAACTTGGCAAACAGCCAACCGTAAGTGAGCTTGACATGGGACAAAATTTTCCCACGAGCCAAGTAAAAGTATCCAGACAAAAAATATGAACTCCGATATTTCAATCGTGTGTTTTTAGTTCGCTCTTTTCGTTAGAATATCGTAAAAATGAAGCGCATTGAAAATTATATAGAATAGTAGGTAATACCATGTACTAACTCGGCGTGGGAATACTGAAATAAAGTTGTTGCCGTTGTTTTTGTTGTTGCATGCAAGTATTTCCCGGGAATTATTTCAATACCAAACTAAGAATACGGTTCCTTGGTAGCATTTTAATGTTCCTGTAATTTGCAAGGCTTCGGCAAGCCTGCGGAGATCATTTTTTTTCAACACGAAATTCTGCCTTGAACTCAGCTGCATCCCGCATGTTTTTTAGCTTTAACGGATCGTAACTGTCCCGAGGAAAATCGGGATTTTTGGACTCATAATTTTCCCACAAAACGAGAAACTCTTCATCCGATACATGTTGTCTGCATAGCAAATATTTATTCTCTTAATTCTTTATGTGAAGCCATATTTTCCTCTTCGGTATTCTTCTAATTAAAGGCGCCGTCCTTCTGAGTTCACTGTGATCTTAATGTTCCATTTTTGACGGGGAGCGACGGCTGCCTTAGTTCCAGGTTTTCTCTGCCAGTCCGGTCGCCGTCGCCCCGAAAACGTCTCCATCTTAAGTTCCCTAATGTCTTTGGCGAAACTTTTCAGCGAGAGGCATAGTACTGTGTGAAGTAATCTTGAGGTGCGATCAGAGGTGTAATATTTCTAAAAGAGAGAATGAGCGAACCCATTCTCTCTTCTTATCTGTGTCAATAAACTATGGAGCTTAAAGTGCATGACTAGACTACCTACTCATTCATGTTTTCCAATCATCTTTGATTATTCACAGAGGATGCTTTTCTCGAGGCAAACGGTGTACACGAAAGAGAAGCAACTACTCTTTTGTCAAAATATCTTTCCAAATTAAAATTCACTGATGCACAAGGACTGGTACTTCCGCGTGAGAAGTTACCCCAGGGGTATCTTTTTAACCATAGGCGGTGCTCGAAACGAACTCGATACACTCCACGTCCAGGATTCTCTATGATTGTCTCCAGAGAAGTCACTTGGATCAGTGACGGCAACGAGGAGGAAACAAGAAATACTGTAAGGAAAACCTTTAGTTATTTTTTGAAGGATAGTTTGTTCCCCGTTGAATTAGGCTTGTTGATTAAGTCATTTCAAGTCAAGTCGACATTAAAAACAAAAATGTGAATAGCTGGATAGGATTTTTTTGAATCCGTTCACAAAGCCTCGAAATCATAAGCCAATCGGCGTACAATTTTGCTCACTAAGGTTACAAAATTTGTTTTTCAGACTGATATTCATTTACATTGTGACGAATGGGATGAAGCACTAAGTGGTGAAGACTGGGAACCCGAAATGATCGTGGCAAAACTCCCTGAATTTCTTAATTTTGTTCGAGACGTACAAGACTTTATTTCCTTTAATTACAAGTGATCCAACAAGCCCTTGCGAAGAGTTAATGGCATGGGTGACCAAAGGGGTGGTTTCTGCGTAGCTTGCTGGTCTACTGCGTGGGTGCTATTGCATTTTGGCGGCGAGGCCACGAGAAGATTGGGAACCAGTCATTCATAGCCTGCGTAGCTGGTGGAATTGCTGGGCGAGTGCTATTGTACTTTGGTGGCGGAGCCCCGAGAAGATTGGGAGCAAGTCATTCATAGCCTGCTTAGCTGGTGGGAGAACTGGGCAAGGGCTCATTATTTTGGTGGCGAAGCCACGAGAAGATTGAGAGCAAGTCGTTCATAGCCTGCTTAGCTGGTGGGATTGCTGGGCGAATTTTGGCGGCGGAGATGCGAGAAGATTGGGAGCAAGTCGGTAAATTAAATTCACTTTAAGGGGAGGGGTAGGGAAAGATCCCCAGCCCCTCTACCTGGATCCCGCCAATTAGAATAGACTTTTGAAGGTAAATGGTAGCAAAGTAGACGTCAAAGTCACTAAAGGTAACCCGGTGTATAGACTATAACATAACTCTAATTTGACCATAACGTGGATTAGAAATTAATTTCCTTCATGCTTTCAATACAACAAGTCCTGTGAAATGCCGGCTTTAATTAAATAGTTGAACAGCTTTTGCGGTCATATGTGTTTTGTTCTTTACTGTTGTTCATCTGGATACGCTGAGAGACTTTAATCATCGTCAACTGTCACTGTTACATTTCTTTTGCTCAAGGGGATTTTACATGTCTTATCATCAGGCCCCTCGGGGTATTGGTCAGGCCAGTAGAAATATTCCGTCCATACGCGGAGCCTCGTGAACTTGGAACGCTTAAGGAATAAAATAAAATAAAACAATTGTTTATCAAGAGAACACATTTTTAGATATAAAAGACAAAGTGAGGATTTCTATCAGAGGGTGAAAAAGAAAGATTATTACTTCTAGGTCAGAGATGAGGTTCGCATCAAAGTCTCTTGTCACAGAGATGGCAGCATTTGTGGTGTTTCATTGCACGCAGGTTGCTTCTGCTTAGTTTAATAAAAATGCCTTAAGTCACCAGTGGTTGGATTGCCACTGTAAAGTTATTTATTCAGTTATTATTTATGTATTTATATCAACAAGTTCTTATTAACATCACCGTGCGTCACGTGTTTCAGTATTCGCCATTTAGACACGCGAAGGAAACTGGGCCGAGTTGACTTTCGCAAAGACTTCTGGGATTGTTACTAGGGACCAGGAAAAAATTGAGCCAATAGCTGACCGGCGCATGCCCAGTAACAATCCCAGAAACAATTGCGAGATGCGTTTCGTGTCCAGTCCCCTTTTCTTTGTTAAAGTGGCACATGAGCAGTCGTTTAATCCCCAGAATAACAGGCTTTGATACTCACGTCAAGATCTTTGCAGTTTGTGTTTGTGATCTTGTTGTCATCACAACTCAGGTTTTCATCAACAGGGATCCTAAGATCATAAACACCAAACGGACTCTTGCACTCCTCAGCTCCAAGAAGCTTATCTTTATTAGAACGGCCTCGCGTAGTTAACTGGTTATCACACATTGAATGCCAACGAGAATCGTCCTTTGAAAGGCAGAACAAGGAGATTTCTAAAGAGAAAAAAACAACAGCAACAACAATGCATGATGACCTACTACAGGTTTTTGTTCAGAAATAGCTTATTAGAGGGTCATAATGGGGTTAACTGATAGGCGTAAAACGTCCAAAAATTTAGTCGATAGCCGTAAAAGTTGAAGAATTTTAACCGTTAGTCGTAAATAGGGTAAAAAAAAGTTAACCGTAAAAGAAACTGTTCCCTAGATTTGTAAAAGTAACCGTTGACATTCCTATGGGTAAAATAATATTAGAAGTGGAATACTTAAAAGTATGTTCTATCAAATGTTAAAATGTTTCAAAAGAATAACTTATTTCATCCCGAGATGATCCCAAGACCTTTATTTTGCTTAAAGATACCAAAAATACAGGTTTATTAATATTTAACTCTTTGAAACAAAAGAAATTAATTTTTAACTTTTTTGTTAACCGTAACTGAAATAAAAAGAGCCAAAATTTTAGCCGATAACCGTAAAAGACACCACCCCATTGAGACCCTATTATTATATCAGTAGTATCAGTAGTTTTACCAAAAGCCAGGAGTGACTTAAAAAAAGAGTGAGTGTCATATGTGAGCACTAACTCGATGGGAGAGGATCTGCTGAATGGCATGCGTTCTACCTAGGGATGTCGATACAAATGCTTGCTGGCCCTTGGTCTGAAAAGTCAATCTACAAGTATTCCTTTCTGCCCGAAGGGTCAAAAAAACTTTTTTTGGAGACCGCCTCCTCCTTATCTAAGGGTCTGGATGACTCCCCACACACACACACACACACACGACCGCCCCACCCCCGCCCCCCTTATCTTCAGGTCTGGAGCCGGCAATGAAAGGTACCACTTTCGGGCGGCGCCTTCTCTTGTAGGTCATCAAATTGAGTACCTCCCTTAGTAACCTACTTACTTCCTTGAGCCTTTGCTTCCTGGCACTTCCGTTTGTTTGTGACACTAAACCGGTCAAATTCAACGTTCCTGTACGAGCCGATAGATTGATAGTATTTCTTGGTGGTGCCGTCCCCAGCTCGAAAATAAGACGCGCTGAGATGACGTACTTGAAGATGAACTTTATCAGGAACAGAAGAGGGCTGGTCTTCATCGCCAGTAAGTTCCACATACAACTGTGAATTCAAAGCAACATGATCAGTGAATTTTTCTGGGTAAGAAAGTGAAGTAATAAAACATCGTAGGGTACTGTTCTATTCCCGGGGCAGGGGCGGATCCAGGATTTTTTTAGGAGGGGGTGCACTCGTCTCTTGCTCTACTTTTTTTTTGCAGAATACCAGTTGTATTAGAAAACCGCAGGTCATCTCGGGGAGGGAGGGTGCGCACCCCTTGCACCCTCTCCCTAGATCCGCCCCTGCGGGGAGAGCGAACAATCAGGGATTTTTTTAAATATAACCAAACAGAAAGGGCTACCACTAAATAAAGCTGGTGAATACCTTAAGTAGTCGTAGATTGTAACACTTTTTACAGCTTTTATCAATCCTGAGGGTGAATTTCGCATAGCCATTCGTAAGGTCTTCGAAAAGCTGAAAACATAATATTAAATAAAAACAGAAAATTACTCAATTCACAGAGGGTGACAATGACCATGTATATTACACATTTCGTGATTATACCCCTTCGAGTGAATAATGTCGTTTTTGGGAACGCATGTTTTAGCGATAACATTTTACTTAATTGTGAGTCAATGGTGCGTACGCAGAAGCTATCCGAAGAAACTTTTTTTTTACTGCGCAGTTAGTTCATATCGCAATGTTTTTGTCGCAAAGAACTATACCATGCTATTCGATTCCACACAGCCACCGTCAACCCTAGCAGTCAAATCAAACCAAATCAAATCCTTCATTTAGACACGTAACACCCAGGAGCACTAAAGTTCTCGTTAAAACGTGTACGAGTGTACAATTAAAAAAAATGTAAAAGTATACTAGTAACCTATACATTAATACTATTAAAATACTAACTATAAATAGGTCTACAAAATGGCTAGAAGCAGAATCTAAAACTAAGGCTATTTACAGAATTTACAAGCCCTACACTTTAAGCCATGTAAGCTTTAACAGATCGCTTAAACGACGCAATGTCTTGTGATTTTCTGACTTACTGCGGGATTTCGCCTTTTGCTCCAGCTCCATCTCTTGATACCAGTAGCAAAAATGTTATTCGTGAAGCATTTTACAGCTTTATCTTGAAGTTGTTTCAGATTCTGTAATACATTTGTTAGTTCAACAGCTCCGTTAAGTCTCCCAGTCCCCAACGCACTTTCACTGGCCAATCGTTGAAAAGATGTCAGCGGACTGTTTCCTTCCCAAAGTGTGCGGAATACAAAAGCTTTGTGAAGTTCATACAGGTTTCTCATGAACGACCGCTCCAGTGCTCTGTATGTGCTGAGTAAATAATCCAGGAAGTTCTGCTGAAGTTTTGTGGTTAAAGGAGTTTCTTAAATGAAGAATACAAAATACCATCAGATATATAGAACGCATGCCTGATTAGATCGCACACCAGTGGAAAACGTACAGTACTAAGATGCCTAATGTCCGACAAACTATTACTTTTGTGTGCCTGGATCGAACTTTTGATGATTTGCAAAGTTCTAAGTACTTCTTCGTTGGAAGAAACAACTGAAAAAAGACTTCGGGGAGGGGGATAGCATCCATCGGCCCTACCCCGACCTTAACTCGTTCCTTTTTTTGTTAAGTTACGTTTTATACAGTCGACTCTCTCCTAACGGACACCTCTGTAAAACGGACACCTAGACTAGGTTCCTGCCTTTGCTTACTCCCTATATTTACTATTTATAACACGGACATCTCTCTAAGACGGACACTTAGTGCCAGTCCCAAAGGTGTCCGTCTTGGAGAGAGTTGACTGTACGTCTTTTCTCACCGTCTGATTTTCCAACTTCTTTGATTGCATTTTCTGTATCACTTAGAAGAGGAACATCAAACAAATATCCCCCCATTTCGTTATCGAGATCCATGCATTTTCCTATCAGGTCAATACGAGCCGCTCCCGAGACAAAGAATGACTCTATTTCCGCGTCAAGAGCGGCCGGACCGGTGGGTAATGAAGCCACCTCCATAAGACACAGAAGTTCCTTCCTAAGCTCAACTTTGTTCATCTCAAGATTTGCCTTTTTAAACAGAAATAGAGAATTGTAAGCAAGACAAGTTAGAAGGTGTGTGAATAAGCAAATCCCAGATAGCCTCCCAAGGGCTTTTCCCTTAACGCTTTAACCCTAAGATCAAAAGTTGAATTCTTATTTGTTGCTCCTACTCATTTCCTACAGAAGTAGTGGGGAGAAAATGATAAAATATCAAGCAAATTCTCATGACCACTCTGTTTACAAAGCATCCATATTACAAGGAGAAATTTGATGCTGATCACTCTTAGCGACTACTCCCTTTTATCCAGGCCAGGCGTGGCTGCTTCAAGTATCCTCTCCTTGGTATACCACACATGATGCTCAACAGAGAATCGTACCTAGCTAGTTCTCTCAAATACGATTAGTAATTTTATAGGCTTCTTCCTCAAGGAATAAAGATAAACTTATACTTATCTGCACTACTGAGATTTGAGGCGGTCGTTTTAACGACCCCAGAAAAAAAATTTAATAGTTCCAGACCTTACAAGAGCCTGGCAACCGCATTTCAATTTTATATTAGCCACCTTGAGGATATTTTTATTCCTTTAGCCGTCTTCTAATTGGAAGTGAATTTCCCCACACCTACCACTTGCCCCTAAACACGTATTTAGTAGCTACATGCATTATTTCCGGGATCGCAGTAACATCAAGTTGATCAAAATCCAGTTGGCTTGGATCTTCGTATGGTTGGTAGTTCTCTCCAAACGTCAGCCATTTCGTGATACTTTCACGGTAGTCGCTGAGCTTTTTCAGGCATTGTTTCCCACGAAATGAATCCGCTACGCTAAGGGCGTTATCAATAAAGTCCGACGGGCTTTTGTCACGAATTGCCTTGTAAAAGCCTACAACTCCCTGAAGCATAGCTATTAGATCAGCTCCATTAAATTGGCCTTTTACATATGCATCACCAAGCGTTACGCCAATACTTTCAAGTATACTGGTCATCCTTTGCTCTTCAAATTTAATTCCCTTCAGTAACGAAATCGGGAAAAGGACTCAAGAAGTAGATAAAGCCTAATTCACTAATTCCGGTATTATAAAAGGTCATACAGTCTCTAGAGGGAATATTGCGTTTTATTTCCCGGGACTCACTATCAAAGTTTTCTGCTTAGCGCTGGCCTCTCCACCATTCGGGTAAAAACCACTCCCCCTCTCTGATCACGTGCACAGGAAAGAGCTATGCAGACTGTTTCCCGTGAGGCCAGTCATTGACTACTTTTGTTATTCCTCCCAACACATTAATACTAAAACAAATATACATATTTTCCACCAGTCAATGGGCATGATCGTGAAACAGAGATTTCAATTTGCGATTTCTGAGCAAATTGAAAAGAAGCTAGTCATTTTAGTTGCGATTGAAAACGCAGCTTATTTTTATATATATAATTCAAATGCCACTCAAAATCATCTTATGAGAAAGGTCGAATACCTTGACATACAATCTTTTCTCACTCTCAGCTATATATTGATTCTGCTCTAGACGTCTTCTTTCTGCATTTACTTGTAGTGAAGCTACTTCAGATATTTTAGAACCCATCTTTGAAGAAAAAACACAAACAAACAATAAAACAGAAAGACAATGGTACTTTCAGAATTAATGCTGGCAACAATTGTGTAAATAAATAATTAAATAAATAAATAACGATGATGATGATGATGATGATGATGATGATGATGATAATGGTGATGATGATGACGATTATGGTGAAAGTGACGACGACGACGACGATGATGATGATGATGATGATAGCATGATGGTGATGGTGATGATGAATTGTTATCAATAACAATAATATGCAGAATATGCATCGGCCTCCGCCTACATCTGGAGATTAACCTAGGAACCCGAAAGATCGGATGTTCGAGATGTTAACCACTCCGCAACAAAACATGAGAATGAAAAAAGTTATGATAGTGTCATGTTACTACAGCGAGACAAAAGAAGGAAATATAAATCATTTATAACTGTGGTTTAACTGTTTGGACGACAAAAGATCCTAATCTGTAACATCATGGTTTTGACGATAACTAACCGCTTTAAAGTTTTCGGTGTCCGTCACTGTGGAGATGATATCGTTGAAAGCATTTTCATATTTTTCAGCTGCATCTTTAATGACTTCCACAGTTCCTTCAAGGGCCTCCCATTTGATGCGCGGGGCAAATAGCTTGTTGTTTCCAAATATATCAAAGCCATCTTTACCCAGGAAGGCAAGTTTCCGTGTTGCGTCTAAAGGAAAGACGATGCAGGTTAAAACGTGCTTTAATTTGATGTCAAGATCTTAATGTTAATTACCAACGGCAACATTCGAAAGTCCCATCATTCAGGGGCATACAAAGAGATCCGAACCCTCACTCTCCCCTCCCTTTCTTCCTCTCCCTTTCTCTGTTTGTATAAATAACAATATAAGTGGCTTCAAATATCTATAAAGATACGAGAAATTTTTGACTGTAATCCGGAATTCTGGGACTTGAAATCAGGAATACAGCTCAAGGAATCGGGAAACCCACCAACGATTGAAAATCGGAGTCCCAATTCCACTGACATAGAGACCTGGAATCCAGAATTACAGAATCTAAGATTGTTTGGATCCCCTTACATAGGGTGATATATGGTTTAAAGAAACAATTACTTGAGCCTTTGAATTCAACATATCTCAAATCTGACCGAGCACGTCCTTCATAAAAGATGGGGTGACAGTTTACGGAAGTAAACATTTTGTGCCAGCCCATGGAAATTCTGAGAATATGGGCTCTCGCTTTTATATATCCAATTTTTAAAAATTCTTTGCCGAAAAACTAAGTTCCCAAAAGCTCACATTTGTTGATCCGCTGCGCGTTTTCATCTCTAGTTATTTCGTCAGTCACACTTTTTATAAACTCTAATGCTTCCCGGCCTTTCTGATCACCACTGTTGCTAAGCAACAAATCCTCGGCTTGTCTTCTCATGATTTCTAGTAAATCCACAGGATAGCTTTGTTTATCCTCTGTCTCCAAGGTCCCGGATTTAACAGCAGGTCCACCGACAGAACCATCACTTCCTCCGGTTTGAGGAGCTGAGAAAAAAGGATCAATTAAAGTTTCTGGAAAACTGCCCACCTTCCCTCCTCCAAGCCAACATTCAGACACTTACTTAGGGCAAAACGTTAGCTTAGGGGAGGGGCAGGTAACCATAAGTAAATGATTAACCATCTGCATTATTCTATAAATACTCAAACTCCCCTCGATCTAGTCTACCGTGACGCCGTTTTTGTCTCGTCAGGGGAAGGGCGTTGAGCGACGTTTTTCAGCCACGGGCGTCAACCGGAACTGGACTTTAGGCACTCTTGAGCCTAGCCTCCCACGCAGGCGTTTTTAGGGGAGCTGTCTGTGGGGAGGGAAGAAATACGAGCTTCCCTAAAAACGCCTGCGTGGGAGGCTATCTTGAGCCGTGATTTTAAACAAATTTTTTTCGGTTGGCGTGCGTCGCTCAAAAATGTCACTACGTAAACTCCCTAATGGTACGACCATCAAAATGAAACAGAATAATGTACTCATCATTTCCAATATCTAGGTATAACTTGATTTACACAATGACGTCCCAGGTCTGAATAGGGTTGATGACACTTAGCAAACTTAACAAAATCATTGAAGATCGCCTTTATATGGCTCGTAAAATAGATTGATTTAATAGATCAGTCTGTTAGCCTTGTCGTTTCTTGTAAATAATTCTTACTTGATCCTGGAGATCCATCATCACCGGAAGGACCCCGACTACCACTAGGACCAACTCCATCGTCTTTGCAAAAGAAGGTGGAGTCCCTGTGCCCAGGACATTCACCGAAAGCGTTTCTTACTCTGGTCCTTCTTTTTTCCCTGGGATGCAATGCAGTACCTTCAAGGAAAGGCAGTGAATTCACTGTTACGTTCTTATGCACTTGAAAATTATACGCGACCGTGAAAATCCACTTTTACCTCAACCTTGTACCCAGGGTTCTTTCCTTAGGGAGTTTTAGCAACGACGTCGGCAACGGCAACGAAAACGTAAAAAATATAGGTTTATTGAACAAAACAACTGACAAGTTTGCACGTGCATCACGCTTTTTTGTACATTTCTTTGCCGTTACCACACGACTACGACGTGAAAATGCCTAATTTCACGTTTTATGGAGGACGTAAACAAGCGACGACGAAACTTTCTTTCTGTTTCTAAACTTGAGTTCGGTCCCCAAGAAATCAACTCCAGGGAAATTTGCCTACTTTAGACATTTTCATCGAACTGGAATAAACGCGACAAAGTTTGAAAAAAAACGCCTATTCACTTTAAAAGTGACGTTTTTGCTGCCGTCGCCGTCGTCGGTGCTAAAAGTCCCTCTTATTGTCCCTCGGACGGCTGCGGCGGACGAGTAGAAGAGAACCCTGGGAACGAGTTTGCTTTTACCCTTATAGCCAGGTGGTCCCCTTGGGAGTTTTGATGGTTTATCACGGTCAATCCAGTCTATATAGTCTGGATCACAGTTTCTTCCAACTCCTCCTCTTCCTCCTGCGCCACCTACAAGTTAGGGAAAGTTTTTAGTTGGACTGAGTCACCCCAAGTGTGAGGTTATCCGGAATGGAATCCGGAATCCTAGCCCTTGGAATCCGGAATTTAGCTAAATGAATCCGGAATCCTGCTAACGATTGGGATCCCAGGGAACCGGAATCCAAGTTCCATCCACAAGAAAAGTGGAATCCAGTACGTGTGATCCGGAATCCACAGTGTGCCTTACATGGGGCGGACTGAGACAGACTGATCCGTTTTCTTTGCCAGATATTCAAGTGTTTTGCAAGTCAAATATAGTATCAACGTTGGAATGCGGCAAGACTACAACCTTGTTAATTGATTGATTAATCTATTTATTTGTTTATTTACTTGCGATCCTAATAGATGAAATGAGCTCCATGCTTATTAAAAGTAATAAAATGGCGAAGCTTGAAATAATATTTATAATTTAGTGTTTAAGGTGCATTACTACTCACAGTGTATTGAAATAATTTTCTCTGTGCTTACCCGTTCCACCAACTCCGTTATTAGCCGCAGGCGCGCCGCTTCCTCTGCAAGATTTTAACTTTATTTGCCCATTTAAAAGCCTGTAGCGAATGTGTACATTGCCTGCGTTTCCACCATTTCCTACGGAAAATTGATTGTTGCAAGGTATTCTGTTTAAGTAGCTTAAAAAACCTTATCAATAGATATCCCTACAGTTTCGATTATACAGTATTGTTGCACATAGAACTGACAATTTGACTAACAATAGACGACTGTTTAACTGTGACAATAGACGGATCGAAACGCACCAATTACTGATTACAAGTCTTCATAGCCAATAACATCACGGCTTAACTGACAGACGAACAATAACATCGCGACGTATTTGACCAATCAGATCAATAACCAGAGTATAATACCATCAACTGACGTGATACAACTCATTTTGACTCTGAAGATGACTACCGCAAAGGTTGTCAAAACGTCAGTCACTGTCAACAACAACAGACCTATTCAGGACTACGTTCACCCGGACGATCAAACTCAACCTACTTTTGAAATGACTCCTGGGTTCAAACCTTTCACAATTATTGCACATATAAAATTATACGTGACTATTATTAATTTTGCTCCCGCAATAACTGAAACTGCATTTCATTGTTATTGTCTGTTTGACAGATGCTAAAGAGACAAAAGAAATCTCCCTACTTTTATCAAATCAAGGTTTGGACATTTCTCAGTCATCGTAGCCATCTACACAGCCTTTTCATCGCGGGGTAGCCGTTGATGAGCTCAGCGGCACCACCCCATTGACGATGGTTAATTGTTGCCCCTGAAAACTAATGATAGATCTCACCAGGGGTTCCTGCATTTCCCCCGTTGCCTCCACGAGTCCCCTTGATCCCATTAAGTCCTCTGATGTCATCGCAGGTGCAGTAATCAGTTTGACTTGAACAAGCCCACCCACTTTTGGCAGGTTGCTGTGAAAATAAAACAGTACCTACACTACCTCGTTCCCAGACGGCTCCCTCGCCATGTATAACTGCTCGTAAAGGAGAATGGCAAGGAGAAAACGGCCGAGACACCGGGCGCTTTCTATTTAACCTAAACGTCTGGTTTGAATTTTCGGCAACTTCCAGTGGCGAATGGAACAGTAGAGCATTTTCCAAAATTTCCAAAGAAGAGGACAACCTGCGATGTATACCCAAATTTTCCCGGAAGTTTTCTTTCCCCTCAACCCTCTCTCGGAATTTTAAGAATTTTCAAATATAGCAAGTAGACAGTGTTGGATTTTGGTTTAGTTTCATTGAAGTCCGCAAACATTTTTTAAATATGTAGCATGTTAGATTGTTTCAAATCGACCAACCTCAAATGAGTGGTGCTAGATCGATCAATGTTGGATATTAGTGAATCTTCAAGGTTGAAGCATAGGCTTAACAAGCTCAAGTTACTAGGGTGGACCCGATCGAGTCGGTATCGCGTTACGAGCGATCGTTGAGAGTTTGTATGAGAAATGAAATATTGAGGTCTGCGAACGATAAATATCGTTATACTAAATAAAGAAGGTTTATCTTTGTTGCATTTCTGTGTGTTTCGGGGTGAATTCCTCAATTCAGTGACTTTTTGGCTCTATTGCGTTACCCGTGTAGCTCCATTCGTCTTATGAATGGAGTTACAGTGGTTAGCAGACAGTTACAGACAGTTAGCATGCTTCAAACCGTATGTCCGCTGGCCGCTGCAGGTGCACCCGCGCCGCCGTCTTGACCTTTGTGTCCATCTCCCGCGTTAGAGGTGACATCAAGAACACCGGTCATGACATCCATATAAAGGTCAACTAAAATTGTTCAAAATAAATGAAAATATTGATGACGATATTGATAACGATGACGATAATTATAATGATAATGACAAAAATGATGACGATAGTGCAAACAATAATCAAATCAGAATCGCCTCCTGTCAAATGAATAACGATATTGATAATAATAACAATAATCAAAACAAGAATGATTTACTTCATATACACATTTATCACAATAACAATTGTATAAAGCTAATGGTAATGTTGTGGCAAATATTTCCTTTTGTTTTCGTTTTTACTTGTACTTACTCGTTATCGTGTATTCTTTTTGTTTTGTTTTTTCCTCACTCTGGTATTTTGCTAATTATGCTCCTTTATTTCTTTTCACGCCGTATGTAAATTTTAGTCGAAAATAGCTTGTTATCTCGCCCTTTTCAAGGCAGCGTTTTAACGTGTCTTGAGAGTTCGCTTATCTGTGTTAATTTTTTCTCGGTTCCCCGAAATCCAAACCTTGTAAACCTTCTCAGCATTTGGTAAGCAGCCTCGTTTTTTATCGTTTCCTTGCATTTCGTTTTACAGTCGTGTTTAGGTTGTGTATGTCTGTATTATAATCTTTATTTTGTCCTCTTTGTAGGAATTTAATTACTTCGTTGTTCGTGTTCACATGTAGTAAAACATTTGTTGAAGTCTTCGTTCGTGTTTTCCTCGAAGTAGCCCTTGCCTTTTCAGACAATGAAAATGTTGTTGTCATTAAAAATATATAAAAATATTAAAGGTAAAAATTTCTCACCCTGAGGTCCGTGTACACCATTCTCCCCATTGTCTCCGTTTCGTCCAGTTTGCGGGGTTGGTGTGGAAAACTGTTGATCCCAGTTTGGCGAAGAGAAAGTTATTTTACTATCTGCAGCAGCAACGATATCTCGTGCGTATATCCTAACATGTTTAATGCCTCGAAGCTCAGTGGTATCCTGTAAGAAAAATATACCAAGCAAATCAACAAAACATAATTCATTTGATGCACAGGGTTTGAAACAGTAACGAACAGGACGTTCATTAGTTGAAACTTTTAGAAAAGCAAAAAATATATATGTTATTGACTTCAATTTATAACAAGAGTAACCGGCAGATGGCAAAAAAAATAGAAACAAGGAACTTAAGTAATGTTCATAAGAGGGTAAATTGTATTTTGATTCAGTTTGTGCTTTGGAGAGGTATTTCCCCTAAGCCAACATTTTGCCCTTAGTGAGAAGTAAGTGTTAATGTTGACTTAGGGGAGGGGTAGGTGGGCAGTTTCCTAGAAACGTATATTGATCCAAATCCCACACGTAAGGGGAATAAAAGACAGTCTTGGATTCTGGATTCCACGCTGTGGATTCCGGATTCCAGGTACTGGAATCCGGATTCCAATCGTTAGTGGGATTCTGGATTCCTTAAGCTAAATGCCAGATTCCTAAGCCCAGGATTCTGGATTCCATGTTCCACAAGTAAACATTTCCCCGGATTCCGGAATCTTGATTACCATACATGGGGAGATAAAAACGTCCTGGCAAACTGCCGATCAACCCCTCCCCTAAGCTAAAATTAACACTTACTTCTCACTTAGAGCAAAATCTTAGGGGAGGGGTAGGTGGGCAGTTTCCCAGAATGATCTATTGATAAAAGGCTCTAGTCTGAAAGCCGAGTAACGTTTAACCTTAATGTAAAGAGTATCTGCCAGTATATCTAGTTGTTGTACGAGATCATCCATGCTCCTCCTTGAATCAGCAAAGCTAAAATCTTCATGTGCAATCAACTGGTCATGTAAATATTTCATGTGAATGACGCGCCCAAGTGCTTGATAATGACCTAAAATAAACAGCGCCGGAAGAAAAAAAAACACTTTATTATGACGATGCACCGTAAAATTCCGAAAATAAGCCCCTCCAAATATAAGCCCCCCAATCCGGTAACGCAAAAAACCCTCCGTTAAATCGTCCCTCCAAATATAAGCCCCCTCGGGGCTTGTAATTGGAAAATTGCCCTCAAATACAAAGTAAAGCAAAGCAAAAACGGTAAATTTACTTCCAACTCAAGGCTAGCCCAATCGATTTTGAAACGCAAATTTCCCTCCGTAGATAAGACCCTCAGAATATAAGCCCCTCCAAAAATAAGCCCCTCGAAAAGGGCCTTTGAAAAATATAAGCCCCGGGGCTTATTTTCGGAATTTTAGGGTATGTCACGGTATTAAGCACGAATGTGCTAACTGTGGCCATGATCACAGACGGTTCTGTCATTTCTAGCTGGTCATTTTAGCAATGGAAAATTGTTGTTCCTAAGGCAAAGGCGTTATTACATAGAACGTTCCTCGCGGCCTCTGGGAACGAGATTGGAAAGTTCCTAAGTTTAAAGGAACAGTATCCCGTTTCTGCGCATGCACCAAACTTTGATTTTTGGACAGGTTGTCACGAAATCAAAAGATGCGATAAAATCGCGACGAGTCTTCGAACCGCGAGCCAAATTTTTATATAAAAGAAGGACTTCTTCGAAAGTCTAAAATATTACTTGAGAATATAAATAACAAATCTCCGTAGGCGGTGCGGTCCGGAAGGAAATCTTGTCGAGTCAATATGACAGTTCTATTGTCTTGTGAAGAAAAAACAGATGACGCTCGCGCGTGCGCATAATCGGGACACTGTCCCTTTAAGTTGGTAGAGTTCTACAATTCAAAACCTTTCTCCTTGCCAACTGGACTTGACCTGTGTCGGTAATAATATAAGAAACAGCCATAGATATTACCGCAACTAAAGGAGTAACATGAGAAGCTATTTTGTTATTATTATTATTATTATTATTATTATTATTATTATTATTATTATTATTGTATTCTTAAAGTGTATTAGTTTCAATTATACATTATATACCTGGTTTACGAAAGAACGGATGAGCACCACAATTTGAGCTATGAATTGCCATGGCCATGGGGTCTTTTTTACTTAGTTTTAAGATTGTAACCTTGAGCGACACTTTCTAACCAATATTGGGTATTTGTTACAAATGTTAAGAATGCTTATTTATTAATATAACTTATTATCATTATCATTACATTCGTCATTATTATCATCATTTTCATTATTATTATTATCATCATCATTATTATTATTATTATTATTATTATTATCATTATTATTATTATTATTTCTCTTGCATTAGTCTCTTCTACAATCATGTCCGTAAACGCAGTTGGATACTGCCAATATCAGACTTACGTACCGTTTGCGATCTTTACAATGGATGGAGTTTGCGTCCAAGTTGGCTCAGGAATTGTGACTGGTGGAATGTTTTGTGAATCGCTTGGATTATCCAATACGAACGATGAACATTCTCCATCACTGTTCACTTGGCCTGTAGGTGGGACAACATTAAAATTGCGTTTCTATTCATCTGAGTAATAATCAAACAAGTAACTTAGCTAAGGGGCTCCGTCGCGAGTAGTCAATTGAAACCCAAAGGTGATCAAACTTGCATCTGCAATAATTGATATCCTTCCTGTATAATACTGTGAAGAAGTAAAAGAGCCTGTATGTTTTGTTTTACTAATTCAGACCATATGATTCTCTCCAGGGAATTTGCCTTTTGTCGTTTCATAAATCATGTATACATTAATAGACCACTTCCGAGTTGCGAAACCCTCACTTTCAAAATGAGGTGAAGTGCACAACCTTTCTCGTGAAAATGAGTTTTATTTGCATGAGAATGAAAAATCATTTTCATATCAAAGGCTGAGCACTTAACCTCGTTTTGATACAGAGGCCGAGGGAACTCGGAAATGGCCTATTCAAGTCGATGCACGTGCATAGGGCGACATTTCAAAGAAATAATTCTTTGGGGTACCTGATCGGGTGGACGGGAATGGAAATTGAAAACAAAATATACAAACTAAAAAGGTCAAGATCATAAGTGTGATGAAACAATATTTGCAGTTCGTTTCACTATTAGGAAGCTTAAGCAAAGACGTTTTTGAGCAACGCATGTCAATCGGAACTGAGGCCTTCTCCATTTTTACATGCCTTGACGCTAACAAATTTGTAATGCTAAGTTTATTTCCTCTTGTAAAGAAGATTTACCCCAGAGTTTCAACCAAACCCAATGACACAAAAAGTCCACTTCCGGTTAACTTTCGTCGCTCAAAAACGCTTTGGCTTAAGCTCCCCATTATCCTAGACAAGACGAAGTACCACTGCTGCAATTTAAACCAGAGAAACTGATTTTTCATTATTCAAACTTTCCCGGCTCCTTGATGATGCTCTGGGCTTTCGATATCGGTCAAGAGCCATACTCATTCAAACTTTTAACAAATTTATATGACCAAAATTCCCTGGAAACTTTGCTGGTTGGTCCGAAATAAATGTTACTACTAAACTCTTGTCCAATCTTGAGCATATATATATATATATACTATATACCTAATGTAGTTGGTGGTGTTTCAGAAGAAGCCACCGGTGGATCTTGCGTTCTCATCTCTTTCTTGACTTCTGTTGAAAATGCTTGAGTCCACAGAATCATTACTGATAATAGCCAGGCAAACCATGTTTTGGGTATCATGTTAACCGATGCAAAGAACTAAGAAAAGCTGATCAGGAAGGTGTGATTTACGAAACCTCGCGATTTTGTAGGGCAACCTAAGGTTTCGTTCACACGGCACCGGAAGAATTTTCGACCGGCTGATTTTTGACCGGACACTTTGTTCACACCGTTCAATATTTTCCCTCTGTTCACATGGAACTTTGAACGGCTGGGCGTCTAAATTTTTGTACGGTTAAGGTAGTTCCTTGTGAATGGAACACCTAAACGCTCGAATTTTCAGCCGATCGAAAATTCGTCCGCTGTCGTGTGGACATAGCCTGAGATAATTCCATAAGGCCCTGCGGACTGGTGAAAATATCGAAAAATAATAAACTGAATGCTTGGAATATAAAATTTTACCTCGGGTAGCAGGGGCATCCAACGACGGTTTGCTACAAAGAGTGGAAAACACTTTTTAGGCTATCCAGAGTACCTTTAATTAGATCTCTAGAAAAGCATTCTAAGCGGCGATACAAAATTCTTATCTGTTCGGCAATCCTAGGGGAACTTGAGTCTTTTCAAAATTACAAGGGCTTCAGCTTTCAGTTTTCCGAAAATTTTAGGTGCAATTTATCGATTTCCGAAAGTTAGAATCTGATTGCTCTCTCCATCACATTTTAGAATCCGAAGTCTTATAGGTGTCCTTTTTCTACGACAAATAGACAAAGTGTAACCCGGGTAGTAAAACATCAAAAATTAAACGTCAGAAAATCGTAGGGAATTTATTAGATAGAGTTCCAAAACTTGTATAACATGAAAGGATCGTTCATCTAGAAATTTTTAGCCGTCCTCAAGCAAAAGGAAATTCTAGGCTATATTTGCTTCTTTGAACAGATATTTTACCCTCGTTGGGTGCCCCTGATAGAAATTGGCAGAACAATTGAAGGCAAAATTAGATGCTCGATTCGTGAATGTTGTCACCAATATGAAACGCGTTTTATACGATTAAAAATTAATTGTGACGAAAACTGATTCAAAATTTCAACTCGTCAAATAGCGATCAAAATTTGTTCTCCAGCGAAAACGGCTGCCAATAAAAATCAACAAATATAACGTTGTTTTTTTTGTTTTGTTTTGTTTTGCTTTTTTTCTCAGCTGAATGAGAATGACGTTTCAGACTATAAAGGAAGAAGAAGGGGTTGAATACGACCCCCTTAATTGTCCATCCAGGGTTTTCTGCCCTGGGTTAAAATGTGAGAAACCAAAAAAGTTTTGTCTAAATTAAGCGTCCATTCTGGTGTCGTGGTGTTGCTAAGGATTTTCGTCCTTATTGTGATCTGTAGTTCTTTGTTTTAAATCAAGAAAATTCAATGATTTAATTATAAAGACAGATCTTAGAAGGCTATATTCACACTGTACCGGATAGACTTTCGTGCTGATACAAAAAGCTAGCGATCTAGATCTGCATGGTATAGTATATGAACACAGCGATCTGATATGTGGCGTGTGTGAATAGAAGCCCTATTTTTCGTTCCTGCGCAAAAGCCAGCTGGTATACAGCTGTTTTGAGAACGGTTGTCGCAAAAAGTGCACGCGACAATGCCGAAAGGTATTGTGGGTGGTTTTGTCTTCCCTGTTCTCCAAAGAAATTTGAAAGAATGGCACGAGAGGCCACGGACATATGTTCGCGAGTCCTAATGGAAAGCAACCAAAGTAGGTTCGACAGCTACAGTCGTTAGGAACAGTGTATTGATCATATCCCATTTTACCTTTCGGGGTTGTCGCGTGCACATTTTTTCCGACAACCTTTCTCGAAATAGCTGTATAGTGTGAGCATGACCTTAATGGTGACAATCCAGTTCACTGAACTTTTAAAATTGGAGAGGATATTGTAGAAATTGGTCTTGCTGATCTCACAACTAAAGAAAACACGTTATTAAAACACGTACAACTAGTCAGATAAGCAGGCTTGTTGAAAATAAAGCACGCCTTATGGAGCCATTATTGTTGTCTTTTGCCGGCAAAGAAGTTCGAATCCTTTTGTTCCTTTTGTTAAAAATTAAAGATACAAACAGTGTATTTTAAACTCATTTTCAAATCAGTGAAATTTTTGCTATCTTTTGAATTGATCTTGCCCTATTGATGTTCGTTTTATTTTGTCACGTATTGTATTTGTTTTCTCATACAAATACAAACAGATTAGCGAATTTACTAAATAAAACTTAGTTAAATCTTACCCTTGAACACTCCGTCTGTTGAAGCACTTCAATGAAACGAGGTCTAGGTAAACTTTGAAAAATATTTTGGACAAGAAATATTTAGAAAGAAAAAGAGACAATAGGTGTTATTGTCACTCCCCTCCAAGCGGGGAAGTTCATAGGTCGATAATTTCAACACCAGCAGTTCTGAATTTCGCCTACCGGAGCATAAACGTTCTCTTTTAAGTAAGAGAAATTATCAACGTTGCTTTTTGCTAATAAGTCAAGCGTCTTATAGGTGGAGTTTTTCTTGTAACGGCTCATTAATAATATAAAACAGTGTAATTGTTGGTCTACTGATTGTCCTTGATGGAAGGGGGTGAGGAAGGTGATAGCAGGACAATGGCTTCAAAAGGAGAAGTTTGGAGATGCACAGGTATCTTTGAATGGGTTGGGGGGCAGTTACTTGCCCAAGGTTGAAAAACTAGAGATTGGGACGATTCAGAAGCAAATCCCCGCTTTTTGAAAGCGGGTTTCTGGAGGTTCTAAGGATCAAATTTCTTGTTTGCTTTAAAATATAATATAAAGAAAGCAAAATGTAATTTAGCAAACCTTGGAAAGGTTCATTTCCAAATGTTTTATATTTTTCTCTGTCTTAATAAATATTTTACGTTAACTTGTCCAAGTTTTTCGCGTCGGTAGCCGCGACTAGAAAGACAACCGGTGTCTCACAGTTGGAACACCTCAATGTCTGAAGGCTTCAGAAATTTCTGACCTAAGGTCTTTGTACCCATGCACCAGCAGCACTTTTTAAACTTTCTCCATTTCCGAGACTGTCGTGACCTTCTTTAAAGTTCAACCATATTAATGGAGATGATTTTGTTGCCCAAGTTTGTAGAGTTGTAGTGGCAATTCCTCAGATCAGCCGAGAGTAATGGTCCAACAATGGGACATAAATTCTTTAAAATTGTTCTAGTTCCTTTCCTTTGCTGAATTTTCCTTGAATTGACAAGCCCTCTCAGAAGGCAAATTACTTCAGCGTTATCAAAGGTAGTCTCATGGGGTTAATCGTCAGCCGTCAAAAGGCCTATAATTTAACCGTCACCCGTCGAAGAAGAGTAATTTTTTACCCTCAAAAAGTTCAGGGTACTTCAAATCTCTCCATTTCAGCTGATCTTCCACGGACTACTGTACCGCGGAAAATCTCTAAACTGGAAAACCAGTTCCCATGTTCTCAAAAACACACTCTCACTCCAGACATTACAAACCTTACAACTTGCTTGTATCTCAAAATGTGTTGAAATTTTATAGTACTGAGAAAGGCCAAGACACGATATTTTAAAACGTTAATTTATACATTGGTCAATATTTACTTAAATTTTTGGATTAAATTTCCACTTGTAATAACCGTCAACAGTCAAAAGCCCTTAAATTAAACCGTCAACCTTCAAAGCTACCAAGCCAGGGAGAACCTCTTTAAACAGTGGCAAGGGCTTTTGACAGGAGTCGGACCTCACGAATGCATCCATCCGATCGCATTTTTAAAAAATATTTTGAGAAATGTCTCTAACTTGTGTCTCATTGGAACATCAAATACTCTGAACTGTTCAAGGCGTTCAGATAATAAAGTAAGAAAGCGGGAAAAATACAAGGAAGAGAGACGGGATAGAGGAGGGTACCTTCTCTTTCAAACCTTCCCCACACCCACCTCTCACTGTTTTTCCTGCTCAGGCTACGTAGGTTTAGACAGGGCTTCGTGGTAGTAGGACTAATAGGGCAGGGCATCATGGCCATAGCAAAACAAAAATAATTGGGTCATTCGAATCAAATTTTTCCAACAATAGCATTTTCTGTTTATCTTAGTGGTGTCATTATGGCATTTGTCACTTCACTTTATCTAAGCGTTTCATCTTTCTTTCTAATATTTGAAAAAGATCAAAATTAAATTTGTGAATTTCTAACTAAAGATAATCCTTTGACTTTGGCCAATAAGGGCAGTTTCTGCCGATAAACGTTGATAGACTGCTATATTGTCAACTATATTCTGGTTAGGCTGCAGACGCTAAGATAGTTGGGCAGAAGATATACTCCGGCCACTACTTCACGAAGCCATTACGAGGTACTTACGTTGGGCTCATTTAACTCGACTTGATTAAGAGAGGTAAACAATAATATTGATGTTTTGATTGTATATCTATGCTCCAAACATAGGCAACATACTGTATCATAATTATCAGTCTTTAAAAGCATACTTATCCTATGACTATGTTAACTGAGTGCTTCACTGGCATTAGCGGTAAAAATGTGCCATAGATTTTATCGACGCAAGCTGCTATTGTAGCTGTTCTCGCGTTAATCAATACTTAGCTTGTGTTCGCAACCAGAACTATAATTAACTATAATACGCAAACATCATTTTGCCCATGATTAAGACATATTAACTTTGTCTACATTTATTAAAATGGATGGATTTATTTTGAAGCGCTTAACTTTGCAACTCAGTGGTTTAATGCTGCACAGCGAAAATGCAAATGCCATATAGCTCCATTAGCCCTTGAAATGTTGTTGAAAAGGCTATCTATGCCCCCGTTTTGTACATTGAACTGCTTTTGAGTGTTTTTTATGGCCGTGCCCAGACATACGATCCAAAGTTGCGTTTCAAAACAGAAAAATCCTGGATCATGACAGAGGTAAAAATTTTCAAAAGAGGCTTAAAGCTGCTGTTTTGAAAAAGTTAAAAGAAATTTGAAAAGGCGT